TGATGGATATAGAGGAAGCGTCAAAAAGAGGTCAGTTAAAATTTAATGTTGGCAGAAATGATTGTCTGCGAAAGTATGAATAATCTTCTAATGATGCTTTAAAACCTCAGCTCTGTCTTAACACTTACTGCTTATTTAGTCCTGAGAAAATACTTACAAGCCATGAAAAGCAATTTTAAGAAAACATTTGTAAACAACTATTTTCTCTTGACAGACTATTTGGCTGCAATTACAGATATTATGCCAAGATAATATATGTTATTCCATGAATCCAGACAATATTGAATCAAATCAACTAGTATTATTTTCCATCTTGTTGAAACCGAACATGCAAGCCATCTGAACTTTCAATGTCATCTGGCACTTCAGAAAAGACTTTATAAAATACAACCAGGCCTGAAAAGCTATCCTTCATTTCTGAGTCACCTCCTGACCTCTCATAGAAGGATCTCACAAAGTAGATCTTCAAGAGCATTATATAATCCAGAAATGTTTTTAATTAACTTTGTTAAAGGCATGCTTATATAAGTCTTATTTAAATTCCTGCAGAATTTCTGTCATTTTCAAAGTCCCATATTTTGTAAAAGGAGATGGTTTTCCTTAACCCAAGTTCTGCCAAATATGACTCCATACATAACATCTATTCAAAGTTCCAGGCTTTAAAAAAGGATTAGATATGATTTGAGGTCATGGCTAGAGAAGTATATAATGATGATATTAAAAAAAAAAAATCATGACCAGGCTTAATTTTGGAGTCTAGAATTCATTTTCTGTTGCTCATCACATGTTCCAACTGTCTTTCCAAAAAATGCTCACCTTCATTCCCACAAGAAATATAACATAAAGCTCTAGTAATTTTTCACCAGGTGCTGACTGAAACCAGGATTCGTAACAGCTGAGGCAAGACAAATTACTTGATCAAGTGAACAGAATTGGAAAGAAGCAAAGCAACTATTTTATTTCCCTTTGCTGTCTTATCAACAGCCAACTAAACAGATGCAATAAAATCCATGGCATTCCAGAGGTCACTTTGGTCAACAAAAGTTTGGTATTTCACAGGGTAATTCCTCTATTTCCCACAATAAGTGATCCAAGCAATCAAATGTGCTTCAGCACTGAGAAAATGTGTAATTAATTGAGTTCATACACTTTCTTCAAGTATTTTGATAAAGTAGGGCCAGAGTATTGGCAGAAGCAAACTTTAATGCGTGCTATGAAAAAAGGCTAGTGCTATTTTGAATAACATGCACCAGTAAAGACTAAGGAAGAATCTCACAAACCTGCTTTACCTGTTGCAGAGACAGTTGACTAGAAAGTCAATAATTGTTCCCAAGAAGGATGATTTTTCTTGCAGGGTGAAAAATGCACATATTTTGGTAATCTCTATTTAATCTCTATATTTAACACTTTTCCATATTCACTAGTCCTTACTGAATTTTTTTTCCTCTCTTACTCACTTCCACATCTTCAGGTACCACTCTGTACTGTGTATCAGGTAACAAGCTGACCTTATCCAGCTACTGTGTGCATCTTCCTTGTGTTCTCATTGCTACACTGTATTTTCTTTTACCGTGCACAAGCAATGACATTATATTAAAACATCCTACTCAAAATTATTATTAAGCCAAAGGTAAACACTTCTCCAAAAATGAACGCTGAATCAAATTTAAGTCTTTCTCCTGCTTAAAAAAAAAAAAGTAACAACTGCAGTGCTTATTCTACTGAGTATATTATTAATTATACATCTAAAGAATGTTCATAGTCTGTGTGTACTCTTGGTGATTCTAAGGTTTATATGAATGAGAAAACAGTAATGTGATCATATACAAGTAAAATAATATTTTTACTCTCTTGGCACCTGAGCATAATGAAAGGAAAAACCAGGCAGATTTTACCTGGGTTTCTGTTTAGAAGAGTCAGCTCAGGGGGTAAGAGCTGTAATTCATGAAGAGCTAGAATGTGGGAAAAAACCAGTAACAGACTCAAAAGCCAAGGAGATGTATTGCCTAAACAATTTTTATTGCTTTTTTGGTGGAGGTTATATAGATTATTTTTCTTAGCTCCCATAATCTCAGCAATGACTTAGAAACCATCATAGCAGTATTTACGGGCAAAAGAGATCAAATAGTTGAAATAATGACCATGTAAGAGCGAGAAGTCAGACGGAAGAATTTGAGTGCTGGGCATCACTGGCAAAGCCATTCACATGGTTCAGAAATTTTAATTTTTGCCACTTATGGAAAGCAAAAGGACTGATAACTGCTCAGATTACGCTGTCAGGGTGCAGACTGTGCTTCCTCTAGGAAAAAACCCTCTGCAGCGATAAAAGCAACATTTTACTGAAGGTTATTTTCCCCTGATTTTTCATTTCCTATTCAGAAGAGTTGCTAATAGTTATTTTTATGTAATAGCAGGTACTTCTTTCATGCTACAGCTTGCGCTGCATATTAATCAGGGCTCTTGCCAAATTAAATTAGTTTTTTCAACATTCGAAAAGCAGTTAAACTTCTTATGACATTCCCCCCCCTCTCTTCATTCAGCCTATTTTTGGAGCAAAATAATGTACTCAGGCCTGAAGTAAAGACACTTGAGCCTCAGGAATGGAAAACAGCCACGAGCCAAAATGTATTCACAGGAGAGCTATAGGGCAATAAGGTTGTCATCTCTGCACAAAAATACTTTCAAAGACATAAACATGATGTTAAAATCTCCACCACTCCCTACTGCACGTTAAAGTCACACACACTGCTCTGAGCTTGCAGTTAAAAGCAGGAAAAAAGGAAACAAGCCTTTTTTTAATCATTATTGCTACTACTGTAGCAGTAGGACAGGCCAGAAACAGGGACTCATGTTAACACCATATCTTTAACAATCCTGGGCTTCTTTATTACTCCTAGTATCAGAAATTAGAATTGTAAAAAAGGAATTCTAATAGTTTAAACAATAAGTCAAAACAGAACTGAATGATAATGCTAAGCACCAACTGTGCCATCTGTATCTGAAAATTTACCTGGACATCTATATTGTACAGATGAAAATATATATGTGCAGGTATATAATATACTGAATTATTTTGAAGTCAAGCCACTACAGTTAGGTTGTCCATAAAAACAAAACATTTCATGTAAATGGTCTGTATTTGGCACGCTTGCAAACAATTGAAAACCAATTCTTAAATTAGTAAGTAATAACTAAGTATTTTAAAATGCTAGTTGTACTGCCTTCTCACGCATAATTTACTACATAGTAGCATACAGTCATAATATATAAAGTTTATACTGCCTATCAAGATACCCAATACCTATGAATTCAATGCTAAAGGGACATTAATATGTCACACAATATTTGCCTGCCTTAAATAAAAGTAGGACTTAAAAACATTTGCAAGACTAGACACAAAAAAATAATCCAGGGATGTTTTTTGTTTTTCCCCAGCTTTGTACTGCACAAAATCAGTTAATCAGCATCAAATATTTTCCTTTTTATAATCCATTAGCCTAATTTGCATAGATCTCTCATACAGTAATAAAAGAGAAAAGCATTTTTATAAAATTAGAAAATGACTGTATAACCACAAAGCTCATTTCTGCAGCAAATGCAGAATCTTTTCTCTTTTTTTTTGTTAAGTTGATAATATTGCGAGTGGAAAACATTCCTTTAACTGAAAAATTATTCCAGGCTAGAAATATTCTTATGCACTAAATTAACCTAATGCTGAAAAGTTTTAAGTAAAGCAAGCTTTTGAACTTGTGTACGTGGCAATTATTTTTTTTACTACAGCAAACTGAGTAATAAACATTCAAGATAGATGAAAATCTAAGATGTTCACCAGTGAATGTTTAATAAAAATAAGGTCAAATAGACACATGGTCTGGGACTGTCCAGCTGGACAAAATATCAAAGCATTTATGGTGATTTTAGGATATTTGCTTAGTACGAACAAGGCCAAATGCAAGCCAGCTCTGCTCCTAAAATCCAAGAAAGGATTCCAGCAAGGAAAAACAACTTACCAGCAGGCCCCTTATTCTTTTTAATAATCTCAAACTTCTTCCTTTGGCAGTCAGAATAACCAGCATATGTTAAAGATCTAGAATTGCTTTTCCCTGAAGAACTAGCCTATAAATAAGTCACTTCATATCTACTGTACATGTTTATTTTCTTCAATCAGACATTCATATATACTACAAAAACTCACTCATCTGTATTTGAATCACCACCACATCAGTATCATTTAACGGTTACACCGTTATGGCCTAAAATCTCACCAAAATGTCCATTCCCAAAGCAACCCACTGACAACTTGATCTAACAAGCAATCACATCTTTATATTCTGTTCCCCTAATAACAAGGACTCAGTCTCTACCCCCAGATTAATACAGGGATGGATTTCTCCTTTTTCTGGGTAGAAAGCAAGCATCAGGCGTTCTCTCAGCATCCCCTCTACCAAGCCCAAGCACCACAACTCCTGTTTCACACAGTTTCTCCAAGTCATCATCACCCAAAGAAGCTGGCAGCACCTGGCAGCTGCCCATCTTCCCCTTGTCAATTTAAGACAACAACTTCTTGTCTGGCTCTCAGAGTTAAAACCAAGAGTTTTTCAGAGAGGGCAGCGTCACACATGGCTGCGTGTTGGGTGTCAACTACACAGTTGAGGTTAGGGACGGATACAGACAATAAGGCTGAACTTCCTTTGGATCTTTCCCACTATTTTTCTGAGGTAGACTGCTAAATAAGCTACAATATTAAAAAAAAATATTAAATAGATGTGAAAATGTTGTTTTCATCCACTGCATACCTCTTGATGACATTAGTATGTGTCATCAACTCTTAAATCTATCCATGTTACAATCATTTCAAATAGGGTTGCAAACAAAGGCGGCTTTTTTTGTGATCAGGATACATAAAGTTTCTCTGGAATTACTTCAAGCAGTTGTGATGTGAACATCAACTTTGACAGCTTGGGTGAGATTCATTATTTTAAAGGAAAAAACAGGATTACCTTCCCTTAGACGCTCAACCACAAAAGTGAATCCAGTAGTTCGCGGATGTAAGACGTACTCGTATTTTTGAAGTCCGTTCTTTTCAGCAAATTCATTACTGCGGGCTTTGGTATTGGCTGAAGAGAGAAGAAAAAAAAGCCCCAATTTTAATTAGCTTGCAAGTAGACCAAGAATTAAACAGAATTATTATAGGACAGGAACAGTACGACAGCAGCTGACACAGTAGGAATGTGCAATAGCTTTTCAGGTGGAGGCAGAGTGTGAGTGTGGGCTGAAGCACGGCATGAGGAAGAGCAACGTGGATTGCAAGAAAAGCCTTTTTTTACCCTCTCATTTCATTTTAGAAAATAACCAGCAAAACTTTCATATTTATCAAATGCAAGCTCAGATCTATCAATTAAAGTCTGTTAATAGTTCTCTTCTGTATACTTCAATACCCATTTCACAGTAAAGCATGTTAGTTGGCTCAATTTTTATTTTTTTTAAACTCAAAAGGCACAATATATAGTAATGTAGGTTTGACATTATGTACAGAAATACCTTGAGGTCAATGTTTAACCATGTTAAACTTATTTTGGAAAGAAAACATTAAATGGAGGAAAAGTTAATCTAATCCATTAGAATGGTATTTTACATCTTCATTCTGAACTCGCCAATCTTTATGTATCAACTTCTGCTGCACACACTTACACCATTTAAAGTTTTTGACCACCTGCCTCAGTGTCACAACGCGTGATCGCTCCCGTACTCAGGGTACACTCAAGGCAGCTGGAAAGCTACCTGGCTAAACCCTGTGACAAACACAGAACTACAGAATTGCAGGGATTGGAAGGGACCTTCAGAGATTATCTAGTCCAACCCCCCACAGAGCAGGGTCACCCAGAGCAGGATGGACAGGAACATGTCCAGGTTTGAATATCTCCAGAGAATGACACTCTACACCCTTTCTGGGCAGCCTCTTCCAGGGCTCTGCCACCCTCAAAGGAAAGTTCTTCCTCATGTTGAGATGGAACTTCCTGTGTTCCAGCTTGTGCCCGTTGTCCCTCTTCCTGTCCTTGGCACAACCGAGAAGAGCCTGACCACATCCTCTTGACACCCACTCTTTAAGTATTTATAGGCATTGATACAGATCCCCCCTCAGTCTTCTCTTCTCTAGGCTGAACAGACCCAAGTGTCTCAGCCTTTTCTCATAAGAGAGGGGCTCCAGTCCCATGATTATCTTCGTAGCCTTTGCTGGACTTTCTCCAGCAGTTCCCTGTCCTTGAACTGCCCAGAACAGGACGCAGTACTCCAGATGAGGCCTCACCAGGGCAGAGCAGAGGGGCAGGATGACCTCCCTCGACCTGCTGGCCACACTCTTCTTGATGCACCCCAGGAGATGATTGGCCTTCTTGGCCACAAGGGCACATTGCTGGCTCACGGTCAACTTGTTGTCCACCAGGACTCCAAGGTCTCTCTCTGCAGAGCTGCTTTCCAGCAGGTCAGCCCTGACCTGTACTGGTATATGGAGTTATTCCTCCCTACATTTCAAACCCCTGACAAAAAGAAGTCTCTCACAAGGAAACTGAACAAAGGCTTCCAGAGCCAGTTGCTAGCAGAGCCCACCGAGCAAGGAAAGTGGACACTCAAGTGAAAACTTCTGAAGGCAAGCAGAGAAGAAGCAATCTGTTCTCCAGTGATGTTTGGGAGGAGTGATGTTTTCTTCCAAGCAGCCTCAGTGAGGAGCCAAACAGACTTTGCTAGTTACACTCACTCCTTCATTGTGAGTACCGCTGTGTCTCCCCTGGGGCCAAAAGGCAATGGACACATGCAACATTCCCTTGGCAACATGGAAAAAAAATCAACTTGGTTAACTGCCATACTAAATAACTTGTATTTACATAGTTTTACAGGTGTTGTAAAAGACAAAATCCCAGCAACAGATCTATGGGACAAAATAATTGCTTAAGCAATATATCATCTTTTCAAGCAGAAACAGCTCTTTTCTTAAGTGTCCACAGTTAACCTTAATAGAGATGGGAGATGAAGTAATGGAAACCATATTGCTGCTTAATAATTTAACAGAATTGATACTTATAGTCATCTTTTCAAGCAGAAACAGCTCTTTTCTTAAGTGTCCACAGTTAACCTTAATAGAGATGGGAGATGAAGTAATGGAAACCATATTGCTGCTTAATAATTTAACAGAATTGATACTTTATAAGTCCTATATAAGTCCTTTCCCTTACAATCATCATAATTTTTCCTGTAAAAGAACAACAGCACAAGTGTACAACAGTAGTGCCAGATGTCCTTTTTGCAGTAATGCAACTTTCCTGCACCTTTCCTTTTTTTTCCCTGAATTACATGAGCCCTTTGTTTACCAAAAAATGTGGCTGTCCCTCCTAAAGGACCATCTACCTATTAATAAAGGCTATACCATATGAGTATACTGAGTATTTGCCCCCTCTGTGATTTGATCTGGTGTTTCCGCACATAAGAGTGCTGCTTCTCATACATGCAACCCTGAAGATTTAGTGCACAGATTTCCTGACCGTGTGATTTGGAGGAAAGCAAAGCTGTTGCACAGTAGCCAAGCAAGTGATTCAGCAAGGAGAATCCAAAGATTTAGTTCTTGCCAAATTGCCAAAACGTACAAATACTTGAAAATATGACATCTTCAAAAAGCATTGCTAAAATTACAGAATGTGTGAAATACTAAAATTACACTTGGCTATGTAACTTAAATTTATCTTTCCTTGGACATATGCATCTTGTCTTTAACCACATGATCAGAGTATCTATTTTTGTCTGCTCAACTACTACTCCATTCAGTGTTGAAAAAGGACTATTTTGAACCAGCAAAGGGAACTTGCTCTTAGGACCCCTACGTCTGTGATGGTAAAACTTGCAAAGTGAGTCACGAGCAAGACTTGGAATGGCAGAAAAGGAAAGAGTAACCCAGTAATTATTAATTGCTCCTCTGAAAAGCCAGATTCTGCCTCTTAGGCACAATAATTGTATTGTGCTATTAACTCCGCTTAAACTCTTTATTTTCCAAGAAACAACACAGATTACCAAGACTGTTCCAATAAAAAGTATACAAGTCAAGAGTCCCTTTCCAGATCCTGTGGTGATTCAAGTAAAATTATTTAAATTCATTTATCACAAAGTTTTAAGCTAATGTATTGTTGCTTCCAAAGGACAGGGGAAGCATCGTCTTCATTTTCTGCATACCCAAACTTGGGTTTCACGTTGGAACATTTGCAATCTACAAATCAAGTCAATCAAAGCTCTGAGACACAAGTGCCATAAGTGTCTACACATAGCTAAGCAGTCTAATAAATAAATAAATAAAAATCTCAGTCTTAAGCATTCCAAATTGCACACAGTTAATGAGCACTCAGGAAAAAACTCTCTCCCTATGTCTCTCCACTGCAGTTTTGTTTTGTGAGCAAGACCTAATTGATGCTGTAAAAGAGTTTTGGGACCTCTACTGCCCATCGCCTTGAAGTAATCATCTTCAAACTTCCTCACTGTGCACCTCCCTGCACTTGGAAAGAACTCACTGTAAACATCTGTAAAACATCTTCCAAATTTCCCTTTACTACAATGCCTTTCTAAAAATGTGTGAACAGCTGGACGCTGGCACATCAGCCAACGCTATTAAGCTATTTCCTGATATTTGTATCCCTGTCCTGCCCCTGGACTGTAAGTTTTATATAACAGAGATTGTTCCCTTCCCCTCCTGCGTGACCCTGGTGTAATGGGATTTTAGAACTAGAAAAATGCTCCCAGCTAATACAGTGATCATTGTCATCTGGAAAAATCATCTCCCTCTTCCCTTCCTAACAACTATCAAGCCACAGGTCTTTGTGCATTAAACAATATTTATTATAGCAAGCCAGGAAGGTTAAAGGGGTTTTGATGCTAGCCTGAAAGCAAGGGTAGGTTTTTTCTCTACTCAAAAGTAAGAATACTGCTCTTCCTCCCCCTCCTGCTTCTCTCAGCATTCAAAGAAAAGAGTTTCTTACTCTGCTGTGACTTATGAACAAATGCACCGCCACCTTATCTGATGTAAGCACCTTAGTGCCTCCTGTTGTTTGGGACTCCTGGGTGAGACACTCATGCCTAAACCTTAAAATTCAGAGTAAGTCTCCTGCTCAGCAGTGGACACAACACAAGGCAGAAAATGTGATGCTCCCCACTATATGAAACCTAGAGGTTAGAAAACTGATCCAGGAAATTAGAAAGCCATTTTTATATCCTCTCCATCCTACGGGAATTTGCACAACAAACACCTCTTAAAAACCCCTTAATCCATTGACCAGGTACACTGTCAGAGCTGCAAAACCTATGCAGATGCCTCATCGTTCTGCAGTCCAGATTATAACATTCTTAGGTGAAAGAACAAACAAACATAAAAAAAAAAAAAGTGAAAGATGCCTTTGTAAGCCTGACAGTGAAAACAGTTCCTTAAAAGAGGAAACATAAGTTCTCCCCTTTGCTTCCCATCAACTAACACCTCCTGAAGCAGGGACTCTGAAAGATGCCTTTGTAAGCCTGACAGTGAAAACAGTTCCTTAAAAGAGGAAACATAAGTTCTCCCCTTTGCTTCCCATCAACTAACACCAATTGCATAAAGCAGCTCCTGAAGCAGGGACTTGAAATGAACTCAGTTTGAGTCTCCTTAATCCCAAAAGATCACTCACATCATTTGGCGAAGGGTAATGCCCCATCTTGCTTACTCTGTCTGAAAAATATGAGTAAGCTAAGATTTGCTTTCTAGAAACAAATATTTTCTTTCTTACGCTGTACTTAAGCCAAAGTAAATCCACCTCCAGACTTTTTGCTCATCATTGCTCTTAGGTGTATTTTGCATTTTAACTCCCCAGTTCTATTTGTTCCTATGATAAAAAATAGTAAGTAGAATAATCTATTTTTATGGAAAGCAGACAGGTCATTAATAGAGGGAGATATGGGACCTTTTCTGACCAAGACCTGCTTTATGCTCTGTCTCCTCTGGTCTCGCACTGACTTCCCCTTCCTCCCCTGTCTCCTTCAGCTCACACATGCTGCCTCTCAAGAGGGTATGGTCTTCAGGAAGGTGACAAGAAATCCAAGAAATCCAATTTAGCTGAGTCTTTAGACACTACTGCAGAGCAATTCTCAAACCACACAAAAGAATAAGATGGATGGAGCTTTGAGCAACCTGGTCTGGTGGGAGGTGTCCCTACCCATGGCAGGGAGGTTGGAATAAGGTGATCTTTAAGGTCCCTTCCAACCTGAAACATTCCACGATTAACAATTTATGGGTTCTGGCCTTAATTTCTTACATTTTTTGGCTCCTGTGCTGCCTTTCATACATCATTTGATCACATTTTCCCCCGTTTATCTCAAAATTATGTGGGAAAATCCCATTTATCAAATTCTTCAATTACAGGGAAAGTTCAGAAAGTCAGCACTTCCTAGGAGCATCACACTTCAGAGTTTCATTTACAGTAACTGGAAGAAGAAATTATGCTCACACATTTTCTTGTTTTTTGAGTTACAGATTTTTAAGTTCCAGATTTTTAAGAAGTTCAATTGCTTTTGCCCCTGAAAATCAGAGGATAAAGTGAACACATTTTTTTAAGTCAAATTATATTTTAAATTTGTGAGATAGCTTTTAATGAGAAGAAATATCTCTAGAATTGGACTTTGATTAAAGCCGTAATGCAGTAAAAAGCTGCATTCATGTGTCTGAAGAGCATTTGGAACTCAAACTCCAAGACCTATACCCAGTGAAAAGCTCCCCATGAAGTCTGCTGGGCAGTATTAGCTCATCTCAAACAACCAACCTCACGTGCTTTTACAGATTCAACATTGTCCAGGCTGACGGACTTTGCTGGACATTACCCAAAAGAATTATAAACTTCCCTCATCATCCTACTGGAAAGCTGATTCTCACAACTTTAATACAACTATTTCTGATCAACTCTCAACTACTTTTCTTTTTTTTCCCCTTTTGTACTAGTGCACTGATATTTGAATATTAAATACTACCTTTTCATTTAATCTGAATTGAAATAAAAGCATGCATGTAAATCTATGACTTCAAGTACTCTCAAATGATATTGGTGCTAGACAGTGAAAGAATAAATGAGAACTCAAAGATTTATCTTTAAAAAGAAAAACAAACTTTAAAAAATCATTTATCTATTAGAGATTTGCATAGAAAGCATAAAAGCTATATTGCTCACTGTAATATTTTAAGAAAAAGTTAATGTACTTATTTGTGCTGCTTTCAAACTACTACATGTTAAATCAACCTCTACCAGTGCTTTTGAATAGTATTTTTTTTGCATTACATCGCATTTACTAGAATTTACTTTTCTACATCACATTTACTAGAAAACAGAAAAATCCAACTGCAGTTCATTGTTACCTTCTAGATGGAATATTCTACGTGATCCACATCACAACATTCCAGCCAAAATCTGGGCTCTAACAACCTCTCCTACTTGTTTTTGAGCTGTTTCTCAATGAAAAAAGGTCTGTGCAATCACACTCTGTCCACCCATTCCCCTTAATTTTTGAAGCTATTGCCACCTGCAAACAAAGTTTGACAGAGACAAGAGATTCAAAGGTAATTAAGCCCCACAGGCATTTCAGAAATGGAAATAGCTGAGAAAAGGGGAGCCTCCGGGAGCGGAGATCTTAATAACGGGACATGGCAGGCAGGCTCCATGAGCATTTGGTCTGTTGGAACTTTTTTGGCACAGCATGCAACGGTCCATTGGCCAACACAAGTATTGGTGAGGATGAACCACGGCACACGATGCCTCTTGCAGAGGCAGCGACAAGAGATTCACGGAGGAAATGTCACACAGAAGGAAACACAAAGAAAAAGGAGAAGTGGGAGTAAAGAAAAGACCACGTACAGGGATGCAGACACAAATCCATAGGCCCAGAGCAATACAGCAACTGTGGTTTTATTATTGCTTTCTGAAGAACTACTGCAGAGAGTCTTGTAAGGAACACCAATAAAAACAAAAGAACAAGCAAAATGGCAGGTTGCATTTCAGCTTTCCAGAAGCACTAGACTGATGGTTGCTTTGTTTCCTTCAGGGCTTCAGAAAGCCTGGCTACACGGTTATCTGCTGAGGGCTGCTTCTTAAGGAATTACAACAAAATACCTTTGATGCACTTAGCTTTAACCTTGAAGTACTCCAGAGTGCAAAGATGACCAACCTATCAGAAATAAGTATATAATTATTACCTCAGACCCTGGACATGCAGTCTGCAAATACACTACTCAGGGTTCACGACATCGCTATTTTTAGAATTTAGTTATGTAGCATCTTACACTGCAAGATGAAGTCAGGCAGTGGCCCATGTATAAGTACAGTCACACTTTACACTTCTTTTAAGCCTTTCATCCTTGAATGCCTGAAAACATTATAGAATTTCTTTATAAAAGGAATAAATCTATCAATGTCATATGAACACTGAGAGGATAAAAAAAAAAATTATAGCAGCACAGAGCTGCCCAGCAATTCTGCTTTTTAGTGAAGTACATGTAGAATGGTATTTTTCATTCCAAGCACCAGAAGAATTTTGTTTCCAGAAGTAATTAGCAGTTTTAAAATTTGGTCAGAAAACGAGAGCCATTACCTCTATTTTTGCAAAATGTTCCCTAGGATATTAAGCGACCACTCAGAACAAAACTGAGGTTTATTTCTTATTCTAAAAGAAGGAACATGAGGTTGTAGTATGTCCCAATATGTCAATAACAGTTTTCTGAAAATAGTTTTTTCAAAATATTACACAAAATACATTATTATGTTCTATCATTCTCATGTGGCATAAAATTATTGCTTGGGCAGGATTAGCTCGTCAAGGGGTTTTGCTCTGTCTCCTACAATATTTTAAAATACATGAGCTAATGTTTTCTGCTAATATAATCTCTAAAGAAGCAGTGCCCTGTCGTCTTCCCTGCCCATCACTCTGTCCTTCCCTCCGTGCTGCTTCCTCCCTGGGCTGCTCAACAAACCAGGGGGGAAATGACCATCACCCGTCTGCAGTGGCTTAAACTGAGTGGAGAAGAGCACAGTTTGTGTAGGTATCTATCTGACACTGCAAAATTAAAGAGTACGTGTTACACGTGTAGGAGGAAGGAAAAAAGAAGGATGAAATACCTTAAAAAAAAATCTGTCAAAAATCTGTCTTCAGAAATCTAATTAGGGATTAGATTTTTTTTAATAGTAAGTGAAGAATCTCGTCTGCATTAATGTCTCACTGGTATCAACAGCATATACTTAAATTTAGTCTAAATTACAACAGCAGAATGAGAGTGGTGAGACACTGGAACAGGTTGCCCAGAGAGGTGGTGGAGACCTCATCGCTGGAGACATTCAAGGTCAGGCTTGATGAGGCTCTGAGCAATCTGATCTAGTTAAAGATGTCCCTGTTTACTGCAGGGGGGGTGGACTAGATGACCTTTAAAGGTCCGTTCCAACCCAACACATTCTATGATTCTAATTAAAACCCTGGGCTTCCTGAAGCGATTCCACATTCAGGTGGAAGCATCCCCATCACTGCCTTTGGGACTGCGCAGCACAAGTGTTAAAACACTGCAGCTGTCTCCAATCTCAGTAACTCTTTATTTTCTAAAACTGCAGTACCAATCTTCCTCAATTCTTTAAAATCTGTTGTCTCCGAGGGATATTAGGAGGGATTAGAAGGTATACATAATTTATGGAGTGAATTACAAAATTCCTTCAATCATCTTGAGATGGAACCACCTGTTCAGAGATTGTGAGAGACCCACAGAGGAACCAAAGCAGGTGCACCCAGAGCAGGTTGCACGGGAACATGTCCAAGCGGTTCCAACCCAACACATTCTATGATTCTAATTAAAACCCTGGGCTTCCTGAAGCGATTCCACATTCAGGTGGAAGCATCCCCATCACTGCCTTTGGGACTGCGCAGCACAAGTGTTAAAACACTGCAGCTGTCTCCAATCTCAGTAACTCTTTATTTTCTAAAACTGCAGTACCAATCTTCCTCAATTCTTTAAAATCTGTTGTCTCCGAGGGATATTAGGAGGGATTAGAAGGTATACATAATTTATGGAGTGAATTACAAAATTCCTTCAATCATCTTGAGATGGAACCACCTGTTCAGAGATTGTGAGAGACCCACAGAGGAACCAAAGCAGGTGCACCCAGAGCAGGTTGCACGGGAACATGTCCAAGCGTTTGAATGTCTCCACCACCTCTCTGGGCAGCCTCTTCTAGTGCTCTGCCACCCTCAAAGGAAAGAAGTTCCTCCTCATGTTTAGATGGAACTTCCTGTGTTCAAGTTTGTGTCTGTTACCTCTTGTCCTGTCCCTGGGCACCACTGAAAAAAGACTGGCCCCATCCTCTTGACACCCATCCTTTAAGTATTGATAAACATTAATCAGATCCCCGCTCAGCCTTCTCTTCTCCAGACTAAAAAGACCCAAGTCTCTCAGCATTTCCTCATAAGAAAGATGCTCCAGGCCCCTAATCATCTTTGTAGTCCTCTGCTGTACCCTCTCCAGCAGTTCCCTGTCCTTCTTGAAATGGACAGCCCGGAACTGGACACAGTACTCTAGATGGGGCCTCACCAGGGCAGAGCAGAGGGGGAGGATGACCTCCCTTGACGTGCTGGATGCTGGACACACTCTTCTTGATGCACCCCAGGAGATCATTGGCCTTCTTGGTCAAAAGGGCATATTGCTGACTCATGGTCATCCTGGTCTTGAAACCTTCTTTTGGTAATGCAATGTACGTACATACTGACCAATATAAAGACATTTCAAGCACTAGATGCTTTGAAATGTAACTGGTATTTCAGGAAGACTGGCAAAGCCTCTCCGTGGAGCTACATTTGTGCCTCTCAAAAGAATTAGCACATATGATCATTAACTTCTACTGTCCATAAGAACCTACTCTTGCTCCTACCTTGAACTTTTTTATACCAGTTCCATAAACAACACAGAATTTCCGCATTGAACATTCCATAAGAAGATGACTAATGCAGCCTACCTGTGAGATCAGTTCCTTCTGGAAAGATGAGGAGTTGTAGTGGTTCATGAATGTCACAGAAATAATCCAGCATTTTTTCAAAGTGGCTCTTGTCATCTTCCCACCTTCTTTGAATGAAAACAAAGGCAGCAACCTGCATCGCCCAGCCTAGAGTTTTTTTTTAAAAAAAATAAAACCAAACACCTTTAGTAACATTTCACTCTGATGCTTCCACAGTATCTCTTATTCCAAAATATTTTGTAAATTGTGTTAGACACAGCATTTTATTTACTGTCTGCCTGTCTTCACCTCTGATTAAGAGCACTTAGTTACCTCATAAAAGGAGTTTTGGATAGGAAGCAAAAGAATGCATAATCTAAGTGAATAAATCTAAATAAATTTGGAATGGCTACAGTTTTGCAAACCCAGAGTTAGAAGAGCTTTCCCGAATAGGGTCAATGCTGTCATGAGGTGAAGTACTTAAAACCATGGCCCTCACTGTAATAGCTTTAATTACTGCAACACTGATTTGCTCAAGGGAAGGCACCGCCCCTACAGACAAACATCCCAGCAATGCACTGCAGGATCTAAGAAAGATGCATTATATAGAGAGAGCTGCCCTTAGTAGGGCATGTTCACAATGTGCATTGTGCAGAAAATACTGCTTTGAGGGATTTATTACATACACCTTCTTATAACGTTCATTACTAATAGAAGAAAATACAAAGTTGCTCTTTACATTTGCTTATAGGAAAAAAAAAAAAGAAAAAAAAAAGATGTATATCTATCTGTTTGTATTCATCCACAAGACAACTGCAAAGATTTAGAGCCTGACATCAAACTGACAATTTAATTCAGTTAAATAATGAAGCTGCTGCTGAGCCTGCAGCTCAAGGGTCACACACCTTTAATCTTCAATAAAGATTCTTGGGTTTTTTGGCACAATTAGTATACAATATATCCCATAACATTAGAAGTTCTGTCCACTAGTTCAGACAAAAAAATCAGGGCTCCACCTCTGCCATGTGTCCATGATGCTCCTTTCTTATAGAGGGCTCAGAGGAGCATGACGTGGCCTTACTGCTGTACCTGGCCAGCTCATCTCTCATCAGAAACACTGCAGAGATCGATACTCCACATCAAAGAGAAAACATCCCAGCTTCCCCTTCTCCTCTTTGCTCACCACCAGTTCTCAAAAGTCTGTTTTTCCTTTGCTGGTGACTTATAACATGTTATTCTTGCACTTTATCTCAGCTCTTCTTTACAGGGATTCCTTTCTATTCTGTTTGTGGCAGTATCTTACAAGGAGGATATGCTAGAAAATCACTTATTAAAGTCACCAATTTCTGTAAGTCACTCAGCTTGGATAACAAAGGTATTGGTATTATCCAAGCTGTATAATCTCTACTGTTTGGATAGGAATGTTAATTGTATCATTAAAGATTTGTAACCTGTATCACAGGGTAGATACTTTTTCTTTTTCAACCAACTAAGCAGATGGAGTGTGCATAACTAACATGCCTTCTGCAATGTGCACTTAATGAGTCTCAGATACTCAAATAACGAACGATATCCAGATCGCTGAACACTGGAAGTGGTTACATGAATCAAGAAAAGAAATGCTCAGAATGCAGCCTCAGCAAATCTCTTCAACTTCGCATCCTGGACTTGTTAAAAACCCTCCGTAAACAAAACTAAACTTTGACCACGTTTTCTGTGCATCTATGCACATATCACATTCCCACATCTGCAGTGTCAAGAAGTATCAGTACAGTTTTATTAACAAAAGCTATTTGCATTTAAACAAATTATTTACAGGAAAAAATAATGGTCAGTTTTAAAGTAACTGAAAAACAACTTACTTAATTTAACTATGCTCTCTTTTGGCATTTTATCACATCCTGCTGCTATGATATATTTCATCTTAATGGTACAAAACCAATATTTTAAATTGAACTAATCAGGGCCTCATTTTCACATTTGTCATTGTGTTATATAAAGAGGACATCTTTTCGTGCCAAACGTTGCCAAATACCAAGTGGTGCCAAAGCATTTGGTTGCTCTACAAGATCCACGGAAATTGTGTGAAGCTGCCTCAGGGAAAGTTCAGCCTGGACACCAGGAAAAGGTTCTTCACTAAGAGGGTGCTCGGTCCCTGAAACAGGCTCCCCAGGGAAGTGGTCACACCACCAAGCCTGTCACAGTTCAAGGAACATCTGGACAATGGTCTTAGTCATATGGTCTAGTTTTAGGCAGTCCGGCAAGGAGCAGGGAGTTGGATTTGATGATGCTAATGGGTCCCTTCCAACTTGAGAAATACTATGCATTCTCTGATACCTCACCTGAAATCCAATCCATAAAAATGGACACAGTGAAGGTAAAAAGCCCTCTAAGCAGAAACAGAGATGGCTTGTATCATATACAGCTCTGAGAATGTAGATGCTCCACAGGACAGAGTGGAAAAAAACACAGATATTAGGAAAGTTGTGCTGTGGTTTTGGTCTTTTCCAGTCATTCTTACCTCTCAGCCCAGACCTTTTGTATGTTTTATGTACCCTAGACACTATGCCTAAATTAGTTTATGCAAAACCTGTACTGTGCTAATCCATTTTATTGTGTGGTGTCACACATCAGGCCTAAATTATTCAGCCTTTGTGTTCTCATTGCAGCAGAGTCTGTAGGCGGAAAGAAGGGAAACGAGAAGCAAAATAACTGCTCACTTGGGAAGCCTGCTGATACTTTCCCAGGTCAGCAGCTCCTTGGGAAGAGTGATTTTGGTCCGTAACAGGGAGGGAGCACAGAAAAAAAAACCTCCCTGCCAGATCCCACCCTCTGCCCTACCTTTCCTCATGCAGCACATGGCTTTAAATTATATGGAAACTTGCATATGAACTTCTTCTAGCGATCATTCTTTAACGGCAGAGTGAACATCAAATTACAAACACCTTTAGCTACTAAGAAAGCTGCTGTTTGGGTGACTCACATTTTAATTGACTAAACTGCAGAGGATATAGTGCAGTAGTTCCCCATTCCTGTCCAAAGCGGTGTTGTTACACACAGGCTATGAAAAATTAAACAGAGGCAGTAACGTAATGACAGTAGGGTGTCAGGGAGGAGGAAGAAAGAAAGCGAGAGAAGGGAGCTGGGAGGCATCCAGTTTTTAAAATAAACACCAGGTTTGATTTTCCAACCTTTCCAATAGATAATACCCAGTGTTCTGGAAGAATATTTCCATCTTTAAGTGTATACCTAATTAGATAAAACAGTCCTGACTGCTCAAATAAGAACAGATTATTCAACAATCAGATGACTAATGGTAAAGGACCCAGGTTTTCCTCCCCCACTTCCCCCAGCACAGCACACTGCACCAAACCATTTTACCCTCTAGGAAAACGGAAGAATCTTCCACATTGGCTCAGCTTTAAGGCCTCCAGTGAAAGGCCACAAAAACATGAATTATTGCCCTCAACCAAAACCCTGGTCTGTGCAGCAATGGGGAGGAACTGCTGCTGTTTATGTGTCTCACTGTCCCACCAGACTCCAGCAGGAGAGGAAACCCAGTAAAGGCTGGCAGACACATGCCTTTCGGCAAAGGGAAAGCAGCTCTTGCTCTGATTTCCATCCCACAGTGTGTCTGCACCGGCCTCTGGAAAAACAACACATAACAAGCCCAAGGCACAACCTGGGATCCGAATGGGAATGCACAGAGGAATTCAGTAACAAGGGAAACAAGAGGAATGCAGTAAAGCAACCAGCAAAATGAAAGGGTTTGCTCATCAGCAAGATTTATCAATAATCAGCAGAAGGAACTACCTTCTCACGCTCAGCCTGCAGTGAGACACACTGTTAAGTTAATTATTGTTAAGTTTAGGTCAACATATTGTCCAAGTAATTATATTTTGCTCTTATGCACAACCTTTTTGGTCATCTAAAAGCTCCCAGGCAGCAGGAACTTTCCTAGCAAAGGCAGCATTTACTCATCTGAGGAAAAATAGTTGTCTTCTGATTTGCAGATTCTTGTGAAATCATCAGTTATAAAAACACAGCAGAGAAACAGCAAAGCTAAAGAAAACCTAACAATGCAATTCCACTCCTTTGCTGGAACAGTCTTCTTGTAATAGATGACATTTCTGAGAACTAATATTGCCTGGAAAAGTATACAAAAAGCATCACACTGCCCATCTCTTGTTCAAAACTGCAAAACAGCAGCACGAAAGCCTACCCCATGGAGTAGCTACACACTGACCTTTAAATCAACTTTTCAGAGCTGATAAAAGAAAAAAAGGCAGCTTCAAATATCAAGTAACACATACACATTAATGGTATGTATTCCCCACATCAATAACGCTTTATCAGAAAAAAATGACACAAGAAGGAGAGCCTGCCATTGAACTACAGAAATGTACTGTACATAAGAATTTCCTTACTGCTTTGGGGATAAAACAAATTATAGCTTACACGGGTTTGGAATTTGCAGCATTGTATTAAAAATGCTACTTGACAGTATAAAGCTTTTTAAAATCTATTTTCTGCACTTTTATTTTCCTCACCCCAAAATCCTTTAAATAAAATAACCCTTGAAGCTGAAATTTCTTAAGTGTGTTTTCATTGCAAAGATAATTTGAGAGTAAGGAGATAACAGAAATGGAGGTGGCAAGGAACAAAACAGAGAAAGAGGCCAGTTGTGCAAAAAAAGGCTTAGTTTGGTTTTCTGTCAGAATTTCATGTACATTTCCACAAGGATCTCAGAAATTAGATATCCCCCAAAGTATCATGTCCCTGTAGGAGGAATATCATGGCTGATAATGAAAGCAAACGTGCATCAAGAAAATGGTATTTATGTATTTCCTACAGCAATGCAACAGAACAGCTAATAATACCAAGCCCCCCACAAACAGTAAATGTTTCATAACTATAGAAACAAGGAGGAAGGTAGAAGGCCTAACTACTGGATTTCCTTATTATATTCATTCATCTTCCCTTTTTTCTTTCACTGCGATAATTTAGTGGGTTTTCCTATCAAAAATTGTCTTGGTCAAAAATAAAAGCATTATTTAGTGTGCTTGGATTCAGCAGGGATCTGGTCCTGATCAGGGCTTTGGAGGCAACAGTGAACCAGACGTCGAGGCTTAATAAGGGAAATCACTCGGAAGCGCGTGATCCTACTT